CTGACCCTGCTTAGCTTCCAAGATTAGACTGGATCAGGCACTCCAGGCTATCCAGAAGCACTTTGTTGTCCTCCAGATGTTTTGGAGTGCTGTTCCAACAAACCTGACCCTGGGCCACAATAGCTGGTTCTGGTGGGAGTTCTAGTACAAAACATCAGAGGGGCACCTGGTTGCCCCAGAAGCTTGACTGAATTTCTTGTGGAGAAAACATAGCTACTGAGGTGGAACAGATAGGGTTGTAGAAAGCATGTGATAATCTAATCCTCCTGCCTTACCTCGTCACTTATTTTTGTGACTCAGAAGGGTTTGCTTAGTGAGAAGATAAACTCCAGCTGACGGCATCTGATTCTTGGATTATGTGTGGGTGTTGTATGATCTTGTCTACGAAGAACTCAAACGCTGGTTGGAACAGTGTAACATCAGTACAATCTCAAAGGGCACCCTTTAAGGACGAGCAAATGCATTTCAGCTCTAATGGATGAGGTGACAAAATAATCCCACCAAGCAGCACCAAGTGTGAATGCCCTTCAGGGACAGGCTGCACATAGATGGTGCTCATCATTTTTCTCCTTTTGCAGTGTGTTTATGGTTCCTCTGCTTCTTGCCGTGCGTTTATGGAAGCTGTGCCTGCTCACAAGTAGCAAGACTGGAAAAAAGCCCAAGCGCCTGATTGAACAAGCAGCAAAATTGTGCTCCTGGTGCCTAGGAGCTCGAAGTGTACTAAAGCACAGGGCTGCTGCAGAAAAAATTGAAGTTGGCATCTAAAGCCAGCTTAATTTTTCATTTTTATAATATAATACAATAAAAGCTAAATTTAAGAAAAAATATCAGCATCATTTTCCAGCCATCGACAAGTTTTCTTGCAGGGTGTTCTCTTAAGTTCTGCCCACCCCCAAGTCCACTGTTTCAAAACTGTGCATAGTGATGTACACCAGATTTCAGGTTTATGAGATCTACTTTATTTTCTTCATACTGGAATCACAAGTTCCACCAGCCAGGGCCCTGTGCAAGCTAGGGGCTGGATGGCGTTAGGCAATAAACTCTTTAGACTTAAACCTTGAAAGAACAGATTTCTTCTGAGTACATATTCCGCCCAGGAATTTGTTTCCCGAATTGTGCTCACAAGCCAGGCACACACACCACGCATTCACTCCTGGGATCTTTCTGGACGTGAGGATCCCAGCAGTACCAACGAGAAGGTTCTCTGCAGCTGTTCCGCCTTTTCTTCCTTGAGGGATTTTCTGCAATAGGGGGGAAATACGGGTGTTTTCCTGGTGTAAGAGGTCATCTCTTTCTCTTTCCCTGCCTTGCAAAATTCTGAGAATGAGGCAGGGCTATGGTGCAGTGAAACCATCTCTGAATGCAACCTAGCTTTCCTCTCCAAGCTTCTTCATCTTGCCACCATGATGTAGGGGGGAAAAGAAAAGGAAACCCTTTGTTATTGCTGCTGTTAAAGAATGAGTCAGAAACTCTTGGTAGGTCACCCAGGGACCTACCAGTAGATTTTGAGCTATCTGCTGCCCACGCTGATGTACAGGCAGAATTGGAAATGATATCTGTTCCTGCTCTGTCAAAGCTGGAGCAGGCAAACGGTGTGGCAGCCTCTACCCCTGCCCTGCCTTTCATACTTGCCTGCAGAAATCATGGGGCAAAAAAGCCTTCCCGCAGCCAGGAACCTAATTGGGTTATATTTCATGCTTGTTTTTCCAGAGTCCCGGTCACTGGCTAACTTCATTAATCAGACGGCTCACAGAAGTAATTTCACTCTCGCTTGTGCCCCCCTCCCAAATCCGTCCACCTTTTGCCATGTTTGTGATTGCTGCTACTTGTATGCAGTGCCTTTTAAATGGAGCTAATCTCGAGCGACGCTTTGTAACAATTATCATTCATCCATTGTGTGATGCTGCATCATAGAAACATGCAGCACGGGCCAATCAGGAGCGCTGCTGCTGCCCAGCCATGGTGACGCTCTGATGGAGCCACTGCACGGAGAGGCTCCCCTTCTGCAAAGTGAGGGCAAGGCCTGCGAGTGCAAGGCTGAGGCAGGCTTCCGTTTTGATGGCGCCCTCTCTGCACCTTGGGCTGCTAGGTATGATAAAGTGTATGGCCCCAGCATGGGGGAGGTTGCTGGGACCAAATGGCTTTTGTGAAGTATAGTCGGGCTGGGAGATGTGTGGCCCTTGTGGCCCACCGGGGCCATCAGGCTTAGCCAACATAGCCAGTGATGAGGGGTCATGGGAGTTGTAGGCAAAAACATCTGGAGGGCTGCTGATGGCCCAGCCCTGGCCTATAGGTTGAGCAGACTAGCCAGGGACTCATACAGAACAATCCTGGGCACGTCTACTTCAAAATTAGGTCCCTCCCCACCATAAACCTCAGTCTGGACTAGAATTGGTTAGGAGTAACCTAACTTCATTAGTTCTTGTTCTGGTAACCTCCAAGTTGGGTTACTACAGTCCACTCTACAGAGGACTGCTCTTCAAGATGCATGAGAAATTACAGCTTTTGTGGTGGCCAGAAATGTTTAGCACAAATTCTGTCCCACTTGTGCTGGCTACCTGTACATTTACAAGTCTGATTCCAGGTGCTGGTTTGGGCCTATAAAGCCTTATGTGGCTTGTGACAATGATACTTGGAGTGTCTCTCCCAGCATAAGTTTATCATCTACAGTTCTTTTCCAAGTGCCTCCTCCAAGGAAATTTCCCTAGGTAGCAACAAGGGAGAGGGCCTTCTTGGTGGTGGCTCCCTGGTTATTGAACCATCTTCCCAGTGAGGCCTGCTTGGTGCACAGACGTGCTCAGGTTTTTAATGTCTTCTGGGATTTCTTATTGTTGCTGACTAAAGGTGTGTGATGCTTTTACGTTACAGTATTGTCTTTAAGGTTTTTAATCTTTGCAAGCTGCCCAGAGAACTTTGGTTATTGAGTGACATAGAAATATAGTAAGTGAAATTGACACTGGAATGACACTTTACTCCAGAGATTTATGCACAGGGCTGCAGCCTTCGTTTCTGTACCTTGAAATGCCACTCTATGCCAGAAACTAAGACCGCTGAGGTGGCTACACTGCAGGCTCCGGAATGATAACATGAATCAGTCCATAGCTGGGAGGAGACCTTGTTGTGGACTCAGTAGCTGCTGTGAGAAGGCTGGGCTGGCTGCCAGATGATCTTCTCTGTGAGATTGTGTATTACTTGGTCTGTGAGATATTTTGGGGCTAGCCTTCATCGCTTGTTTTGTGTTGAGTGGTACAAAGCCATTGCTCCAAGAAAGTGGGACACAATTGGGCAATGATTTACCAATGTATCCCATATGGAAGACTTTGGAAACCCTATGGGAGGGACAACCTTGGTAAACATGTTTGCCAGGAAACTGAAGTTCCTGTGGGAAATTGGTTTGTTGGTAGGTTGGTTTTCCGGGTGCAGTCCTATGGAGATGAACATGGTCTCCAAACTCAGGGTTTATTCTAATGAAATCTTTGGCTTCTTGATCTTCTTGCTTTGCATTTTGCTAGATGCTCACTTTTGGCCTCCATCAGGAAGGAGGTTAGAGCAGCTTTGGGGCACCCTGTATCTTGGGTACTCCAGTCTCCTCTCTTCCCTGTCCTCAAACACCCCCTTTTCCTCCTTTCTGAGGTTGCATTTCAGACCTTGGAAAGCACCCCACATGGTTCTTTGCATGTCAGCTGCATGTCAGCTGCAAGGAAGAGCAGAGCACAGCTGGTCCCAAATATCCTGTGGGCTCCCAGATAATCCCCATTTCTATATCATCCCCCCATTTCTTTCAGATAACCCCCTCCCCCACTCCTTTCAGATCTTCACATCTCCAGCACATCAAACTTTATTCTTGCTGCTTTCGTGGCCATGGAAATGCTTGGCCATCTCAGCTTGGCAAAGAGGAGCTTTTTTTTTTTCCCCTCTGTTAATGAGGGAAGCAGGACGCGTCCTGCCTCAGTGCAGCTGGGCCACGAGACTGCAGCAGAGCGCCAGCAGAGAGCAAAGGTGCTTCCAGACAAGGCTTTTACTGTGCAGTCCCCTGCCTCATTTACAAATGTTACAGGGGATCCAGACACAGCTCTTTTCCATTATAACTCTTGGCAACTTCTCCCGCTGCTTCCTCCGCCTTTTGTCTCCCAGCAGTGCTATCACTGCACAGTGGGCTGTATGCCATGAGAGAGTAGACCCATTGCAGTGATTACAACTTAAGGCAGAACCCGGTGTATTTGATGGATCTTGCTGGGAGGGCTCCACCTGGAAGCAACCAGCTGTCCCTCACTGACCCTAAGGCAGCCTTTTGCAGTGCGGTGACTTCCAGAGGTTTTGGACCACAGCACCCATCATCCCTAAACTTTGGCCATGCTCACTGGGGCTTTCCTCAAAATATTTTCCTCTCTCAGTAATATAGGAATTTGCTTCATGCCAAGCCAGTCTTTTTGTCAATTTAGTGTCTGGATTCCTGCCCTGTGCTGTCTGGTCGGATTGGTTCAGGTCCTCCTTGGTTTGCGGTAGGGTCACCTGATCTTGTGAATGAAAAAGGAGAGGGGACCTGGAACAGGAAAGGGTTTGCTCCCTTCTCCCCACACATTGAGGTCCCGATTGTGTTCGTCCTTCTTCCATAGCTTGCTATGCTAAACATGTGAATGGGTTTGTCCTTTCATTCATTTCTTTTTGGGAGCTCCTACTTGCAAGGAGCAATGTGGAGTTTTTATTTTGCATGCAGGCAAAAATTGGATAGGGATGCACTAAAATCTTGCCCTAGTCTCATTCCTTTCATTGGAAGAGGCTTAAATGTATGCTTGATCCCTGAACCCAATCTATAGGATGTAGAGATTAATTAACCTTTAGATGTCTTTCCCTTATTACTGATGTCATTAATGGGTAGATGACCAAAGTAATGTGTTTTTAACAGCACAATAAACATCCATTATAGAACTGTAATTTAGAGCATTGTGAACTTCAGCAAACCACAGTTTTCACTGCTTTTTTGTTTGTTTGTTTTATAGGGAAAGGAGCAGGACTTTGTAATGAGAATTTCAAAGATACGATCTTGATTTAAAAGGTAGGTAACTCCTCTTTACATTAATATGTCAATTTAAGCCCAAAGAAGAGTGAAAATCTGTAGTACAGAAAAAACCATTGAGGCCTTTTTGTTAGTTGAAATGGAAATAAAAATATTTCTCTTTCTCTGAGGTGTAATGAAATTTGTTAGGTGTGTATGAAATGCAAATGCTGTGTTTCCATTTCTTGATATACAGTTAAATATTGGGAAGTCCTTTCATTTTTCAGTTCCATATCTCACAGGTGTAAGAAGTTCTCTTCCATAGTAGGTTATAGATTGTACTTGGCATATTATAATTCACTGTGTTCAGCATAGAACCTCTGCTAAATTTAACTTTTGTTTCCATTTTTAGATTAAACATTCCTCAACATGTTGTTGAAACCTGGAGTAATGAAAGTTAATTTTAGTAGAAACAAGTCAGGTTCAGACAACCGTTTAGAAAGATTGGTTAAGAAAAAACTCAGTTTAGTGTTTGGATGACACACTAAACAGCAGTTAATTTAAAATTATTTCTTTATGAGAGTTCTATCTTGCTTTTTTCTTTTTTTAAAACACTCAAAACAGCTTATATCATTCCCTTCCTCCTCTCAGTTTTAACCCCACAACAACAACCCTATTAGGTAGGTTGGGTTGAGAGTCTGTGACTGACCCAAAGTCACTCCATGGCTGAGCAGAGATTAGAAGAACCGTGATCTCCTGAGCCAGTCCTGTGCTCTTAACCATGACACCACACTGGCAATGCCAAATCATGATTTATCACTATGTACAATATATAAATGCATGAGCTGTTTTTTTAAAAGGTGTCTTTACAAAATGTGTCTGTGTTCTGGGTCTCTGTTATAAAATGAAACCAAACCCAAACCCGGCAACAATAGCCTTTTCATGTCTGTTCTCATAGCTTGGAAGCAGTGTGATCCTGAAAGGAAGGTACTTCCCATCTTAGCATACTGGGTTCACTGAACAGAGGATTCTTTTGTGATAATGGGAATGCCGCATAGGGTACATGGCGCAGGTGCATGGCATAGGGGAGATGCGTCACCGACGCACGGTGGGCTGTTCCTTTCATCGATCAAACTGCACTAACTAGCAAAACCTCCATGCCAGTCTCCGTTATGGGACAAAAGACCCTTCACAGTGGTCTCCCATTGTCCTGGGCCGGAACTTGCCCTCCTGATGCAGAATTCTGGAAGCAGATTATCAGGAACATGGTCATCATTTTCTGGTCCTCATTTTGAACCTGACTGTGCCAATGTGCTTCTTCTGCCACTGAACTTTTGCATTGGCACAGCAGAACTGGGGTTTCCAAGATGTGGAGGAATAAGCCAAGCGACCTTAGGCAGAGCATACAGATGCTTGAATGGATTGGTTTATTAGAGAGATAGATAGCATGAGTACATATGGAAAGGGAGCTTGGGCTGGCAATTCCTTGGTTTGATCTGTGGAGTGAATTGGAGATGGTGAAGATGGGTTGAGATGGAGCAGCACACGCAGGTGATCTAAAAACAGGGCTGTAGTGGAGCTGGGGCTCCGAGGGATAAAGTCTCAGGGCTCTTTTGGGACTCATTTCCCATCTGCCACCTTTCTCAGGCTCCCCCGTTTCTCTTGAGCTCAGCTGCAATCCTCACAGTAGCTCCTGCTGAAAGCACCTGTTGTGATGTGCAATTTCTTTGAGGTGGCTTCAACCCTGAAGGAGCCATGAAGACCTTCTCGCTTTACACAAGGCCTGCTCCTATTAGAGTGAGCTGTTGCTATGGATATGCAGAGTTGCCTGCATGTTTGGACTCTATTAGAGGGCATTGCTAAGGAGCACATGCACTTCAAATGTACCGCTCCATGCAGTTCCCATTCACCACTCTGCAAGGGCTAAAAAGGTAGTTGGAGCGGGGAGGGGAGAGTGAGTACCAAATGAGGGTATAGGAGTGGGGACAAATCCAGGTTGTTGGGAAGAAAGTGGTCAAAATGCAGCCAGTGCTTTGCCTGAGGTGGCACACACAGGACTGCGTGGCTAAGTAGACATGCAGGCACAAGGAAACCGCTAGAAAGGGAAATGAGAGCAAAGCATGACTATTACTTCCCCCAAGGCAAGGTGAATAAAAGAGGAGGCTCTTCTCAAGGGCGCTCTGAAATGGAAGCTCATGCTTCCCATCGGCATCATGTGTGAGGTTCTTTGTAATTTATCAGTCATCTAGGAACAAGGCAGCGGTTGGAGAAAAAGCTGTCCTTGGCCCTGAATGGCATGGAACCATTATATTCTGACCAAACAAAACACTGATTTCTTCCTGAACTCTCCTCAGCTTTGCAAAAATAGACAGGAATGGTGAGTGTAGAAAAGGAAAATGTCTGCAAGCTTTAAAGAAAAGTGACCAAAAATGTGGCTGGGGAGTCATCTTACAGATCTGGTTTTCAAGAGAGGAGCGTTGCCAAAAGCGAGGAAAGGAAAAGGTATCTCACTGCAATATGAGAGAGAGTTTGCTTTTCCTGCCAGGAATGGTGGGTGCGAAAGTTGAAGTTCTAAACTTGTTTAGCTCTTCTTTCTGCTCACTGTGATTCTTTTTGAGTTCATGTGGATGTGTGATTACTTTAATAAAACACCCAGGACAGGAGTAACCGTCTTAAATCAGTGCCTGGATAACATGGCTGAACAAATGAGGGCTGATAGCAGAACCCCTGTGCCTGCTATTGAACTGTAGTGTGTTTTATAGCTGTTTTTCTTACTGGCTTTAAATAAATGTGTTGCTGGGCTGTTTGGTCATTCACAGGATTGTGGCTTAGATGATTGCATTTTACTGCGAGTTATTGCAAGCTGCTTTAAAGTTTCCCTATGAAGATTGAAGATGAATTTGTAAAATCAGTAGGGCTTTGACACAGTCACTTCATTGTAATCTTTGTGAATTGAGGGAGATGAATCAGTGAACAAGTGAGAAAGTTCCAAGAAAAATCCTTTAAAAATATGTTTCTGTGGTTAAACAGCACCACTTTTAAAAAGCTGGATATCTCATATTGAAGTTGTATATGTAGTGGCAGCCAGATAAAAGACAACCAATAACAGTCGACAGAAAGCTCAGCAGAATAATGCCTCTTGTCTTTTTTTGAGAAATAGCTCCTAGCTCACTGGCAAAGTACATGCTCTGCCTGCAGAAGGCCTCAGGTTCCATCCTCCTGAACTTCTCGCTAAAACGATCAGGTGATGGGATTGGAAAGGAATCTGCCTCAAGCCTTGGAGGCCTGTCTCAGTCCCACCAGGCACGGATCTGTTAGGCATGGATCTAGCCACTACATGAACAAATAGTCTGAGCTGGTATAAGGCAGAGTTTCATGTTTTTGAGAAGAAAACTATGAGCAAAGGGAGGGGTACGGTCAGAGGTTTAATGAGCTTTCACATTTTTAGTTAGCTTTTGAATTCAGGTTGCACGACTTCTCAAGCCATGGCAGTTTATAAATATGTTGTCTGAACCCAACATTCTTCCCACAACGTGGTTTACAAGCCACCCTGGGGTTGCTTATTAACCACCCCAACTAGCCATGGCTTATAGAAGGGTGTAATAAAATCCAGTATGGCTTATTGCCATACAGTCAAGTGTCCTTGAAAATTACAACTGAATAGCCCAGTACTATTTTTGTGACTTTTTTTTTAAAGGTGGACAATGTGGGAAGCAACCTCTAAGCAGAACCTCAAGGTTTTGGTGGGGTGCTCACATGGCCCTGGGCTTCCCTCACTTTCTGAAGCATGGAGAACAAAGAGGCATTTCTTTCTGAATGTTGAGGGACATCTTGGTGCTCCTGCAGTGACCCCTGGGAGGAGAAAGCACGGGAAGGAGGAGGCACAGAGCCCCTCCTGCACCCTATTAGTTGTCAAGCCCAGAGGAATTCTGATCCCAGTGCATGATCAAAACTCCCAAGGCATTTAAGGTATTGTGTGGATCCAGCCACTGTGTATTTTCTCCAGGCAGACGATGTGTCTGTAGTTGCCCTTCTCTGTGGACAGGGGATGGCATGAGTTTAGTGGAGAAATGCAAAATCCAGGATAGAGGAAGAATCACAACTAGGCAATACCTTCATTAGGATCAGCCAAAATGCCACCATAGATCAGGCAAGCTTTTGAGTTCTGTAAAACAGTGGTTTTCAATCACTGGTCTGTGGACTGGTGCTGGTCCGCAGGAGATTTCCTGCTGGTCTGGGGGGAGGGGGGCATCCTGGTTGCCACGGACTGGTGCAGGGGCTGGCTGTGCTCCACCACCTCTTCCTCAGTTGGCATTGCGTTCGCTGGTGCCACCATGGGGGCGGGGTGGGGAAGGGAGAGATGACTCAACGGAAGCCAGCTGGGAGCCCCGCTGTGCCAATGTTGGTATTTTGCTCTTTTGTTGGCATTTTTTTGTTGCTCGGTTTCTGGTTGTTTTGGAGAATTTTCATTTTTGAGTATTGTCTTTGGAAACTAATACACAGAATATTGTATTATGTGCATGGTGCTTTTTTTTTCTGCCTCAGTGTTCCCTCGGGTGGTTTTCCTGTTTTTGCTGGTCCCCAGCTGTGGAAATGTTGAAAACCACTTCTCTAAAACATTTAATCATGTTAAGTGAAATAAGAGGTAGTGTGGAGGGAGGGGGAAGAATCAGAAATGTTCAAAATTTAGGTTAGAACTCGTGGTCCTGAGATCAGTGGAGAACCTCCAAACTATGGAACTTAGGAAGCACTTTTTCAATATATTCAATAAACAGTTTCTCCAGATAGCTGGCACATGTAAGTGATTTACTTTGGTTGCCTGGTTAGCAAGACATGCATTACTTTGTTAAGAAGTTTTCTTTGACATGTTGCTGAGCATTTTGTGGCAAACAGGATTTGCATTCCTATCACTGCCTCTAATAAACCACACCGTGTACTTCAGAATCACTGTTCAAGTGAAGGAAGTTTACAGGGCTAGACTGGATTGATAAACTGTGCCCGTCTCTCATGCAAGTTTTGTGTTCAAGGGATTTGAATGCCAGGGCTTACTAATTGAATAA